GTGAAGGAGCCGCTTTAGGTACGGTTTGTCGCGTTAAACGTGAAGAACGGGGGCTGGCCGGGAATTACTCCTTGGAGCTCTTCTGTAATCAAGGTAGCGGTGTCGATTCTGTGGGGCTGACCGTCCGCCCTACGTGATGTGCAAGGTCTGCCGTATTTTGAACAGCATAGTAAGTGCAGGATGGTGTCACCGTGAGGAAAGATTACGTTTTGGGGTGCCCGTCAAACAGCTGGTTTTGAATTCCCTCTCTCAGCAGGCCGCTGTCGTCTCCGTGGGATGAGCTGTCCGCTGCCCGGCACCGTGCTTACACTCATGGGACTGCTCTTCGCCAGAACCATGGCCTGGACTTCAAGCGGAAAGACGCACCCTGAGCTGGTGAACAACCTCTACAGTGAGTACCGCACAGGCTCCTGTGCAGAGCACGACCTAAAGCTGCCAATAGGGTCTGTTGGCGCTTCGGCGTAAGGATATTTAGTGTTATACGGTGATCCCTTGTGATGCTGTTCCTTCTGAAATGCTGGAGTTAATATTGCCTGAATTTCAGTGGTTGTCCCAGACTGAACTTGTTCTGTTTATAATTGGAAACAAGACATTACGCCAGCAGTGGCAGGAAAGACTATCCACGGCCTTCCTTCCACCCCTCTGGAGTGGTAAATGCATGACACCTTTGAAAGTGCTGCAGCACGTGACGTCGCTCTGAGCCTGTAGATGCTGAGCTGCTTGGCAGCCTGTGCTCTGCCTCCAGCGAGGTGCCCGGGACTGGAGTAGTGCTTGGTGCTGCCGCCTCGCTCCACACAGTGGGCTGGAACGCACTTAAAAATAGCTTTGAATTTGCCCTACTGCTAAAGCTGATTTCCAATCGCCCCCCCCCTAAGAGTTCCCTCAGAGATCAGGTGTGAAGAGATATGGCATGTTTCTGCAGTCGTCGCTATGAATTTTAGTTTACTCACCGTGCCAGCGCTCCTGAAACCTGAACCGGAGTCTCCGCTTTCAGGAGTGAAAGTGTGACTCTGTTTATCTTCCATTACGTTTGGTAGTCCCAGAAACGCTGTGGGTGGAAGTCACCATCCTCTTGAGAGACACCAACTGATGGTGGGGACCATAATATGATTTCACGTGGTGTAGCAGAAACTGAAAAGGCTGTAGTTGCGTCTGTGGTTTTGTTTTCAGTCCCTTCTCAGATCACTCATTAAGGTTGAATTCTACCACTTCCACTGACTCCCTGAACTGTACTCCTCCCCTTCCAAATCTCTTCTTGCTACGGTACTGAGGATTTAAGTCCTTTCTGTCTCTGTTTTCCTCCTTCTCCCAGAAAAAGGGATAATTAAATCCCAGCGAGTCTTTGATGTGCTCTTGGCTACTGACAGAGGTCACTACATCAAATATTTCCCATACATGGATTCTCCTCAATCTATCGGTGAGTAACTTAAGGCAAAGCATCACCGCTTTTACAGTGTGGACACTGACTTTGCTCGTCATGCGGACTGGGGAGCATGAGGTGGCTCGGCACACTCGAGTTCTCTGTGCGAGGTGCTCTCTCCCGGGAACAGTGGCTGAGTTTTACGATAGGTCAAGCAGAGCAAAGCCCATCTGTATTTCAACGGTGGGATCCTGAGGAAAGAACAAGATGGCTTTTCCGTGTTCAAAATGTTCGTTGATTGCTCCGAGTCTTGCTTAGGGGGTGGAAGCGAGTGCAGGCTGCGAGAGCCGCAGGGTGTTCTGATGAACGAGCCTGGGGCTGGAGCACTTGGCAACCGCAGCAGGGTGCAGCCATCTTGCACTCATTAGTAATCCCGCAGGAGGAGATTTTAAGTCAGTTTAGGGCTTTAGCGCGGCAAAAGAAAAAAGTGTTTTCATATTTTCAGGGAAAGTGGGGGAGAATAAAGAACTATTCACACTGGTAATTTTAATCGTCGCTTCTTTATTACGTAACTTTTGTCACTGATTTGCTTTTAGGATACAAGGCTACAATCAGTGCACCGCATATGGTAAGATGAAACTTTTCACTTTTAATGGAAATGGAGGAAATTGTTTATTTGCCATTTTTTTATTTTATTTTTTTTTCTTAAATAGTAAAGTAGAAAGGTGAAACAGATCCCACGACATGATTATCATGCTTGTTTCTCTAGGTGCTGTATACGCAAAGCTTTTTTCTTTTTAAGAAGAGTTTGCCCTATACTTCTTAAGTTGCTTTAAAAGTATGCTTACATAGGAATTCTGTGCAACTGAGGCTAACTATTAATGTTGTCCATTTTTCACAAGACCTTTTTTCCCTGCTGCTTCTGATCTTATTACTGAACCTCGTCCTAAATGCTGTCCTGCAAAAAGACCTTCCAGATCGAACACTTGAATTTCACTGTCAGACAAAATGCCAGGTGTCCTGCGTTTAAATCAGAGCAGATAATGCTTAGAACAAGTTGGTTTAGGAGAGGAAACTAAAATGGGATGTTTCACACCTTCTCGTACTTGTTGTCCGCACAGCATGCCCATGCACTGGAATTGCTCAAGGATCGGCTTGTGGAAGGTGCAAAAGCGCTGGATGTTGGATCTGGCAGTGGATATCTTACAGCTTGCTTTGCCAGGATGGTGAGCTCACAGGACTCCATTTCTAGCTAGTCGGGCTCATCAGGATGGGCAGCTGGCCGTAGCTGGCATGTACTTTTTGTGGGGAGAGGAGGAGGTGGGAAGAAGGGGTAAACGTTCACCCAGTTCAGAGTAAGAGGAGTGTCTTAATCTGCTGTGCAAGTCCCTTGTAGGTTCTTTTTAGTTTGCTTCTTAAGTAGTCACAGACTGTTTTTTTTTTTTGTCTTCTAAACTCCTGGAATTATTTTCTGTGAAGTGCTAGAAAGCTGGTCGAGTTACTCTTCTCGGGAGGTTGGTTAGTCGAGAACTAGCCCTGCCACAGAAGCTGCTAATTGTACCAAATAATTATTTCTTTGGAAATGAAGGGTTGCTAGGAATCCCTGTAGGCAGTGTCTGTGTATCCCTCAAGTAGCTAATATACCTGGGACTACTCAGCCTTCAAACCAAGGGGGCAGAGTATTTGCACCTCCCCTTCAGAAACTCTGCTCTTAAGTTTCTTCCTGGAAATTCTCCAGTCTCCACAGTAACTTACCCTGTAAAATACATCTCTCTACCATATAGGAGGTATTAGGTGTTTGTCTGCTGTTTTCCTTTTCAGATGGGCCCGACAGGGAAAGCTGTGGGTGTAGAGCACATTAAAGAGCTGGTACATGAATCCATGAGAAATGTCCAAGAAGATGATCCAACTTTGCTCAGCTCCGGCCGTGTAAAGCTTGTGGGTGAGCTCCCTGGGATCCTGATGCTTGTTCTCTCCTGTGAATGCATTAGCTCTGGCTGCCTGCAGAGCTCTGCTTCTTGAAGCAGTTGTTCCAGTTTGTGTTAATGTTTGCCATGGTGTTGCCAGAAACCACTGGCTACACTGACCTGAGCGCTGTAGTGTAAACGAGTAGTATTTAATGTTACAGGCAGTCTTATCGTCTGCCTTACTTCCAAGTGTGTTGTGACTACCTTAATGCACTAAGAGACACTCTTCAGAGGACGAGTGGTTGTACCACATCGGGGTTTAGTTTCTTTGAATGGGTCTGCATGCACTGTTGGGTTTTTCTTGGGGGGGTGGGAGGGAGGATAACTTGAGTCAGCTCTTCCTGTGTCTGGAATCTTGAGGCTGCATAAAGCCACTGTGTTACTGAAAGGCCCTCCTGGCTTTGACCGTTCTTTCTTTTAGCATGGCTCAGTGCCAGAAATCTTCCCCTTTTGAATTTTGCTGGTTTACTTTTTAAAATTCCTATCACAATCTTGTTACAAAGTTTTCATCATCTAGATTTCAATTGAAAGGATATAGGAAGAATTATTTTTGCCTGGAGTTATCAGAACAAAAGTCTTCTCTGCATGCTTTTTCCTCCTGTAGTTGGAGATGGCAGGCAGGGATACCCCGAAGAGGCTCCTTATGATGCCATTCATGTTGGAGCGGCAGCAGCAACTGTACCAAAGGAGGTAAGAGTGGTCATGCTGGCTGTCTGTTGCTGTGGGCTGCCTGCATCAGCAGCTGTGAAAAAACACTAATAATTGGGAAACCACTGGAAGCTTCTTTTTCTGTCTGTTTTGTATGGAGCTGGCAAGCTTGTGCTTTTCAAGGTGTCATGACCTTCACAGCATGGCTTATTTCTGCTGTCTCTTTTGTTGATGTTTTTTTTTTTTTTGGCTCTGCTGATTCTCATTTCTCTGCTTACCAGTTGCTGAATGAATTGAAGCCAGGAGGTCGGTTAATATTGCCCGTTGGTCCCGAAGGTGCAAACCAAGTTCTGATGCAGTATGACAAAACCAGCGATGGGCAGATTATTGAAACACAACTGATGGGTGTGATCTACGTTCCTCTGACAGATAAGGAAAAGCAGTGGCCTCGGTAAAAATTTGCTCTGCCTTCAGGAATGCTTCTTCCTCGCAGCTATCCCTGTGAGCTTGCTCTCATTGACTGCTGGCTTTCTGGCTTTACTGACAGAGTCCTGGATTCTAGCAGATGCTGGTTGGAGGGGAAAAAAGAAAAAAAAAAAAAGAGAAAGAGGCTTGGCTGTGGTAAGGCACAGCAGGAGAGCAGGATGTTAGATAGGGCTTGCAGACTGAGGACTTGAGCTTTTCTATTTTCTTTTTTTGGAGTCTGTGCACTTTCAGAAACGCCATAGCCATGTTGATTCTGCTGCTGAACTGAAGGCCACGAGTAGTAACTGTTGGTTTTTCTTTGCCTCAGGGATGAATTCTGACAGATGGATGGATATCTCTAAAGTGACCTCAGAAAGCTCATGAATGGGACTTATGACTGTAGATGGTCTGTATGGTTTTGCTTTTTGAACAGAAGTTTTATCAGTGGCCATGGTTGCAAGGGCAGGTTCTGCTTTAGCAGAGCTCGTTAGGGAGGGATGGGGAAGAGGGTGTCTCTCCAGCAGCAGGAGCAGGGGGAGGCTCTCGGAGGCCGTGTCTGCTTCCGGACAGCGAGTGGATCCAGGTAACTCCAGCTGTCCTCTCTGATAACATCTGTTCACAGAGAATTCCAAAAGCAGACAGGAATACTTAAACCTTCACTAAAAGTACTCTTTAATATTGACTACTCTGCCTAATGCTTGAAGAAAATAAGATGCAATTACTGTTTCAGAGCAGCGATCTACCCCGATTTCTCAAAGTTTACTGATGAGAGCGTGTTCTCTTCCTGTCTTGCATCAACTAATTTAATCTCTGGTAGCAACACTGAGAATTTTGGGGTTAAGAAAAATCCCGGTCTCTCGGCTTTTCCCTGGTGTGCCCTTCTTTGCCACGCGGGCGGCTGACTCGGGAGGGTTAAGAGCGGCGGATGGGCCGCCCTGAGGCGTTAAGGGGTGTGGGG